AGAATACCAGCTGCGCCCCTCCCCTTCTCTTCCTAAGCAAAGAATGAATAAACCTCGCGCCGGTCTCGGGCCAACACTCCCTTCCAAACCGGCCCGAGGCACTTGTCTCCCACACTCGGGCATCCGGGCGAGCGCGAAGTCAGCATCTAGTCTGGGCTGTGCTACGTAATACGATCAACATCTTCGGAAGTAAAAGAACGGGCGGGCCATAAGAACAGAGAGACCACATAATAGGTCGAGAAAAATAGGGCTTCATCAGAATAGAATAGAAAGTATGTTGGTACAGTACACAGCTTATGCCGAGCAGCTACAAAGAAGGCATACAAGAAAGGCTTCCAAAATGTGGAATACGCAGAACCCAAAAAGATGAACCTCGCCTTCGCCTATAAGCTCGGCCCGCCATACCCCTTGCCTTACCCAGCCCCCTTAAGCAAACAATAGAAACTCCATTTTCACTTTTTTTTTTTCGAGGCTCATGAGGTATTACCCATCAAACCACCCACGCATCCCGACGCCGTATTCCAACTCCTGCAGCGAGATTGTATCGCTTGATGCTATATCAACGTTCTACATCATGCACCGGTGCCTAGGCTCCGACGCTGCTCTCCCGCTGATGCTTCGCGATATAGTACGTGATGAGATTCTTCGGGTCATCCTTGGCGCCTTTGATAAGCTCCCAGAACGGCGCATCTCCAATCCGCGCATGCAGAGCAACGCAGAGCTGCACGGCGCCCATGCGGACACCAGAGTCCGTTGACTCGAGGCAGCGGCCGGCGAGACCGGCAAGCTGTGCGAGCTCATTGTCCGAGGGCGTGAAGCCAGTACGCTTGTCGAGAAGCTCCTTGAGAACATGCAGACCTGTAGCGAGACAGCGGCTGCCCTCGATCGTAGTGTCCTGTTTGCTTTGCAGAAGCTTGGTCATGACCACAACGATCTCGGGCGGGTCTCCGAGAGCCACGAGCTCTTCTGCGAGGAGCTCGAGACCGCTGACGATGCGAGTGCGTGAGTCATATGCGCTGCGTGTTGATACGAGAGACTCAAGGCCTCGTGAGACGTGTGGCTGGAAATTGTCCCGTTCCTTCTTCAGCAAAAGCTTGATGGTCGCGAGGATCTGTGCCTTGACATCCTGGACCCTCTCCGGCGCGAGGGTCTCTAGAGGTGACTCTAGATACTCAAACAGTCCGCGGAGCAGCGCCTCGAACTTCTCATCCGTGAAAACAGCCTTGTTGTCTCTGATAATTGATTGTAGCTTCCTGAAGCCGTGGACGTCCAGAGACTTCGCCTTAACTCTCGTAACACCGCTGTCAAGCAGTCTCGACGTCTGGCGAGCTTTTTCGGGAGTCTCGGGCGTGCCATTGGCTTCAAATCCATTGCTCAGTGCTGGCGCAGCAACCTCATTCACGGGCTTATCTTCCAGAACAGGAGTAGTGATATCCGGGTTGGCAGTTGTACCGTCGTCGACGAAGGGGTCCTCGAACACCTTCAGTCCATTCGTGGGTGCCGGCTCCGGTTCTGCCTTGGCCATCTCTTCTATAACAGGAGAGGGGGCTAATCCTCCCGCCGCAGCCTCGGCAGGAGCTTCCACGGCCTCCTCAACCGGCGCCTCCTCGGTTCCAACCGCTGGGGCTTCGGGTGATGTCTCAGTCGGAGCTTCAACAACGCCCTCATCTTCAGCTTCTGCCTGAGATTGCTCGGCAGGTTCCGGGGTGGGCTCTGGAGATGCTTCTTGTGCTGGCTCGGCCTGGGGCAAAGGAATCTCCGCCGCAACCTCCGCAGGCGCATCCGCCTCAAAGTCTGGTACTGTCGGTTCCTCTGTCGCGGCTCTTTGCCGTCGATCTAAAGTTGGAGGCGACTTCAAGCTTCCGAGGCTCGGCACCACCAGTGTAAGGTCTTCATTGTCCCTGGACGGGCTACTCGTCGGGATCGTGGTCTGCATCCTCTTGGGCTTTGCAGGACTTGTGCGGGGCGAGTCGCGAGGAGAAGAAACAGATTTCGAAAGGGTCGACTTGGCGCCGGGTGACGCATGAGATGTTGCAGCACGAGGCCTACTTTGAGCTCTTCGTGGGGAGGCCTCGGTCTTCGGCCTCGTTGTGGTGCTCCTAGACTTGGGGTTTTCGGGACTAGATGCCTCGGCGGAGGGTCCATCATGCGTGCGTACTGAGTAGGGTCCAGCCGTCGCGGGTCGCGCCGCCATTTCTGGCCTCCTCTTGGTTGGTCTCATGGGCCGGACGGACATACCTCCTGAGGCTGTCGGCTTAGCGGACGGCGCTGGGCCGCTCGACGAGCTGGACGCCGCTTGTTGAGGTCGAGCGGGAGAGAGGTTGGCCATTGCAGAGCCTGGGCGAGGCGGCAACTTTTGTGATGCTGCCATCGTCGCCTTCTTCTGTGCCATCATAGTCTCACGCAAGGTCGGCTTTCCAGTGCCCATCGTGCTCTTTGACAGGCCAAGGCCTGGTCTGGCGCGTGTAGCCTCGACTTCCCTCTTAGGGGCGTTGGGGTTGTTGGGGTCCTTGTCGAGGAGCTTCTGCGCAGTCGGTTCCAGCGTATCCTTGAGCCTGTTTTTCCCTGTCAGCAAGACGCGTGGCAGATCGGAGCACTCTCGACTTACATATCTGCCCTGGGTGGCCAGATTTTGGCAAACACCCAAAAGGTGGCACGCATGCGCTCCCTTACACCGGGGTTCGCGTCATTGAGCCCCTTCTTGATGCATTTCTCGACGAGGTCCAGTCCGCCGCCGTGCTCAATGTGACTCTTGTGATGTGCTTCCTTGGTCAGGATCGTCTTGAGCCAACCAGTGGCATACGTTCTGGGCTGGACATTCTTGTCCTGGCAAGCACCCCAGATATGCTGCATGATGCGCGAATTGTAGGTGACTTTGCCGATGATGATGTTGACTGTGGTATCTGCCTGCTGGGAAGCAATCTTCTTCGTTGCCGCGGCGAGTTTGATGAAGGTCTGCATAAGAAGCTCCACCAAAGGATCCATGCCGGGGCCAAAGGTCATGGCGATATCCTGTACGAGGTTGCAGCCTTCTTTCGAAAGACTGGTTCGTAGCGAGGTAATGGCCTTGATGATTCCGTCGAGTAGTCCCTTCAGACCCAGCAGGAAGGCGTCGGGGAAGTCTTGGGGGACGTTGCCGGCAATCAACCTGCGCAACTTTGTCATGCTCTCTTCGCGCTTCAGCCAATTTTGCTCCGACTCCCTGCCCTCAAAGTACATCATCATTTCCCTAAAAATGTCGTCTAATTCGCGCTGGGTGTTCGCATATGAAGGCTCGACCTCGCTTCGCGTTTCCGGGGCTGGAGTAACAGGGCGTTCGCTCGCAACGGAAGACACACTCGCTGCCAGCTTCGGTCGAGGGGCAGGAGCGGGAGCATCGAGGCCTGGAGTCTTTGGTCGATCGGCTGCTGTGGGCGCAAGCTCTTTGACAATGGCTTGTTCAATGGCGGGGCGAACATTGAAGTTCTTAAGCTGTCTCTTGAGGTCAGACTTGGCCGCGTTGGGGGCATTCCTGCATTGTATCAGTTAGCGCGAATCATGCGATCAAATCCGCGTCCAGAAGACATACCGGAACAGCTCAATGACAGTGCTCTTAGCGACGTCGCGCACCATGCCATCAGCGTCCTCGAGCAACTCCATGAGGGTCGGGACGTAGGCGCGGAACTGGGTGCCGTGCTCCTGGTGCATGTACAACAGCCAGTGCATGCTGGCCTCCTTTGCCCTCGGGTTCTTACCAACCATGGCAACATTCTTGACGGAGCGCTCGACGTCCATGGGGGCGGCTGTGTAGATGGTGGTCAGTGCCTGCGATGCGAGGCTCCTGAACTTATCCTTGGGATCGCCGAGCTTGTCAATGACCAGGGGAAGTGTGTGTTTCGCATCCTTGGCAATGTACTTTGGCTCCTGTCTCGACAATCTTGTCAGGAGGTGGTTGAGGGCCGTGAAGCCGGCGTTGACGAGGACGGCGTGCGGCGAGGTAGAGGCGGTACGGAGGCCGTCGAAAACTTGTGGTACGAGGACATCGGGGACGTTGTGCTGCTTGATGCCAGACTTGATGCCGGTGACGTGCTGGACCTTTTGATCGACGCTGGCCTCGCTGCGGAGGATCTTCAGCAGGTCGTCGACCTGTTCTTCGGTGATTTTTTCCGCCATTCCCCGCAAAACGAGGGTTGGGCTCGGGGTGGGTTGTGCCTGGTGCGAGTAGAAGGCAGTGTCAGCAGTTGTCTGTGTATATCGTGGTCAATGGTGGTGTCGTTTGTCGTCGTCGTCATCACAAAGGAAGCTTGGACGAATGGGACGGTTTGCGCGCGCGCGGGTAGGTAGCCAGTCAGGACAGACGAGCGACGGGGAGGTCGACGATGAGCGAGGGCATGAATCGTTTAGCGCACCGGGGGAGGGGAGGGGGTGTGTGATATCGTTCGAAGCTGGTAGGGCAGAAGAAAAACGCTTACAACTTTGTGCAAATATGCCTTGGGAAGCGAGTAGCAGCACGGAGGAATATCCCAGTGCGAAGAATGTGGCAGATTGGGGCCGGGTTGCGCAGGTGGCAGCAGTGGCAGAATGGAGATGGGCAAAATGGGGTTGTTGTTTATGGATGCGGTTGACGTTCTCGAAACCAAACAACAAAGGGGCATCGCAGGTTGTCCCGTGCACCAGCAGCACCCAGCAAGCCCCAGCCCGGGCAGCCATTGGCTGGGGGTTCCGCTCCTGCGGTGTTGCGGGACGCTAAGAGAAACCGCGCTAGGTCCCTTATCCGCTTATCGTGAGAGGGCGCTGAGCAGCTGAAGTGCCCGAGGAGGGGCGGCCACGGGGCCCGGACCCTTACCCCTGCAGCCGCGGGGGAGGCACGTTCCCACCCAAGCAGCTAAGCACCTAAGGTACGTCCCCCGATCGGGAGCTACGGTTGCCTGTCATGCTGCACCTTACGGCGTATGGAACAGGGTCCTCCGTCAAGATGATGTGGACTCGTTGAATTCCTGTTTTCCTTCCCTCATCCACCTCGGACATAAAGGGAGGAGCGTTTCCTGTTTCTATGCAACCTCTGGAAAACGAGATCGTGATGTTAATTTTATGAGAAATACCGGCGTGTGATACAACCAGCATCCGCTTCCGCATGCAGCTACTTACTTTACCTTAGGCGTTGAAACTCGATCAAAGTACGGATACCTGCATCCCACTACATCGATCGACCTTGCCTAAGGTAACCACCACCACCTCACGCTACCTTAGGTACTCACGAAACCAAGGCACTCGGTAGCTCCAACAGGTACCTTACCTAACTTCAAACTATCCGGATCCGTAGGGCACATCATCTTGAGCTGCTGCCTCCCCTCAAAACCCCCCTCGCGGGACGTTCTCTCTCAGATGGTCCTCCCACCAAACACCACGCCCAACCCCGATCCCATCGCCATCTTCCTCCCAGCCATGTCGTCCGCCGTTCCAGAATCCACCACATCCTCCGAGGCACCGGGCCCGGCCCCGGCGCCCCCAGCCGCCACCCCGCTCCCCGCCCACCTCAAATCATCATCATCATCAGATCAGCAACCGCTAGCCCCCGCCGCCGGCGCCGCCAGCAATCACCCCCGTCCCGTCCCGGACTTTGCCCTCCCCAAGCTCCGCCTCGAGATCCGCGACCTCAACGACCCGGCCGCAGCCCACTTCCTCTCCGCCGTGAACGCCAGCACCGCCCTCGCGACCGCCGTCCGCTCCGTCCTCGCCCTCCTCTACGAATCCCCCTCCAACCACACAACCCACGTCCCGCCAACCCGCTCCGTCACCCTCATCCTCCGCCCCATGGGCGGCGTCGCCTACACCACGGGCTCCGACCTCGACGACGACCACAAGGAGATCCACTTCTCCATGTCCTACATCGCCGGCATCCCCGCCGACCGCCGCACCGCCGAGATCATGGGCGTCCTCACCCACGAAATGGTCCACTGCTTCCAGTACAACGCCCACGGAACCTGCCCGGGCGGCCTGATCGAGGGCATCGCCGACTGGGTCCGCCTCAACGCCGACCTGAGCCCGCCTCACTGGAAGCGCGACGCCACCGGGAACTGGGACGGCGGGTACCAGCACACGGGCTACTTCCTCGACTACCTCGAGGGCCGCTTCGGCAAGGGCACCGTCAGGAGGATCAACGAGAAGCTTCGTACCCAGCGCTACAAGGAGAAGGAGTTCTGGACCGAGATCGTGGGTAGGCCCGTCGAGCAGCTGTGGAAGGATTACGGCGACAAGATGAAGGAGGAGGAGACTGTGATTGTGAACAAGGACGATATTTCGGATGATGATGTTAGATTGGGGAGGATCCGAGCTGCCGATGAGGTTCCACAGTGAAGAGCCGATTTACCACCATGTTAATATAGACGAGGAGATACACTCCCTGTCATTCTGGAGTTTGTTACTTTGATTGTCACGGACACGGCGATGTGGCGACGGCTGCTCGGAATGCAGATCGTCAGGGAAGACGTGGGATCGCAGGGAAATGCATTTAGAAACTAAAGGTTTTATTTCAAATCATGTGCCTATCCGCCCGAAATCTATGCGTGCTCTGTTTCCCAGTCCTGTTGATCCTTTTGCGCCTTTCCCTGCTATTTCCGTCGCCGTGCTTGAGCGAGCTGACTGAATCAATTGTGATGTACCAAAGAAAAGTTGAAGAGACACCGCGCTTATGCGTGGACACGGGCCTGCGCAGTTTCGCTGCGAGTCTCGCTCTCGCTGACAACGCTTCCAACCTCGGACCAGCTAGCGGGAGTCATCATACCCTCGCTCTCACTCAGCACATCGTAGTAGCGGCTGTTGTCGCCGGCTCTAGACGAAGCGGCATCGTTGGCGACGTCCTCGCCGGAGCCAGCGAGGGAGGCCGAGTCGGTGGGGGTGAGTTCACCTTCGCTAACAAGCTCGGGTTCGGACATGGGTACGGGAGGCGACATGGGAAGCGGTGAGTAAAAGTTGGAGGGGCTGGACCCTTGTGCCCAGGCTTGAATGGAGGCGTAGGCTTCTTCGCGGTTCTCTTGGCCAGCAGTCATGTACTCGTCGGCACCGAGCTCGCGGTCGAGCGTCGTGGACTTTTCAGATTGGGATGAAGTTTCAGAGACATCGACCAGAGGGGGCATTTGGGCAATGGTGGCGGCAATGTCTCGGGGGCGTTCGTCGGCGTCGCGGGTGGTGGCGCTGTAAATGTCTGACACGGCCTCGTCGTGGGCGGGGGACAGGGAGCTGGGCTCTTCCATGACTGGCAAATCTTCCTGATCGATCTGGTGCTCGTCGGCGAAAGGGTTGGCGTAGAGCGAAGCGTTGAGGCCGCGGACACCCTCGGGACGGCGTCGAATAAGCCCCTCGTCGTTGTAGGTGGTTGCGCCCGTGTTGTAAACGAAGGATCCCTTCTCGCCACTCTTGTCCTCGTGCAAAAAGTCATCGAAAGATCTGCCCCGCGCTGGGCCTGGTGGCGGCAGCTCCCGCGATCCGGATTCTTCAGCTTCGATTCTCTCCTTCTCTTTTTTGGCCAAGGCCACGGCATTCCAGTACAAAATCTCCTCGCGCTGGCGGCGGCGTGTCTCGTCATCGGCGTCGACTCCGGCTTCAGCCCCTCCACGGGACTCTAGGAAACCCTGGGCGTCCTCGGGTCGGTTGAACATGGGCGGGCGGTCGTTGGGCTCGAAACCCTCGCCCAAAGAGTGTAAGGCCATGGCGATGCGTCTCCGGACATCGTTGGCATATCGCTGAAGTTCCGGCGACTCGTAGATGGCAATAGCAGCTGCAACGGCAACAGACACAGCAATAATGCCGGCTGAAGCCAGGGCACCGTTGTTAACACCAGGCATCGTCAAGCGTCGAGGCAGTCAGAGTTGTAGGGAGTGAAATGGCGAGAAACGGTGAGGTAGTAGGGAGCGAAACAGGTTGGTTGCAACTTTGCAAGAAGATAAAAATACAGATGAAATAGCAACCCGAGAAACGAAACTGTCAAGCTCTAAATTGGCCACGCGCCCGAACAAGTCGGGATTGCGTGGTCCTGGAGGCCATTTGCCACAGGCCTGACCACCTCAGGCAAGCAACGTGATTCGCAAGAGCGCTGACGCGGGGTAGTGTAGGTACGTGTATCCGTAAGGTAGTGTAGGCTCCGGAGGAATAGCAGAACAGCAGATCGTCGGGCGGTGTTTGGGGATGCGGGCATGGGGGGAATTCGGGGGGATTTCCATCCATTGGAGACGGAGGGGCGGTAGGCGGTACATGGAAGCGAGAGGCGGCGACAAGGGGATGGTTGTACAAATGAATGTCACTGACCTTTGGCGGCGATTGGCACAGGCATTTCGAGCAACCTCTGATCAACAGGCCAAACGCACTTTGAAAATAAAGTAATGACCAGAGGTTGTAGATGCGAAAAGAGAGAGTGTGTGGAGGAAGTACGGTATGTCAAGTAAGGTAGGGCAGGGAAGAAGAGAAGGGGAGATTGTGTAAGTGAAAGGGTGCGTTGCGTTGCGGCAGGCTGACGACTTAGATACCTCTCTACGACGGTACCTTTCTTACCTTTTCTCACCGTGGCTTTTCCCTTCAACGGTGCGGGTTCTCTTGGGGGGTTGCGTATCCCCTTACCGCAGTTTGAGCTCCCTCTCACTCCATATGGGCCTTGGTAGGCATCCCGCAGCCGTCAGGTACCTTGAGATAGGTCGGCAGGACGGGAGGCCTGGAAAGTACCTTGACGAGCGCTCTCGGTGGCTACGCACTGCTATCCTTCCAGACTGGGTACCTCTTCTGCCCTCACAAAGTCGGATCCAGGGCTGCCGCAAAGGGGGAAGGCCAGGAACGTCCATCCAATAGCCCGCTGCTGCTCGACCGTACTTGGCGGGGGATCCCTGGACGTGACTTGCGTAGGGGGCGTCCGAATGGCTTAGCACCGATAAGATGGTGACAGTTGGACTTTGGGTTGGTTGACTTTGGTAGGCCTCGTGGTCCGCCTCGCCGCAAGACAGGCATGGACACTATCGTCCGAGTCCGCGGCGTGCGGTCAAACGTCCAACGAGTCACCCACCGCTTTGCCAGAGAGCCTAGACTTAGAAGAGGGCAGAGGGGGCGCCTGCGCGTGCTTGATGGGTCTTAAGTTGGTTCATGTTTGGGGGCGCCGCCGCATGGCAATCCAGGCACCCACTCACGTCGCTTGACTCCCTGAAGGACCTTGTGGATTGTGGGCTGTACTTGTTGCCACCCACCGCGAGCTTCATCACCTATTTGCTGCCAGAGCCTCCAGCTGCGCCCGGCTGAAGGAAGCATGGCGTCGTTTATTTGTCTCCCAGCCAAGCTGGAGGAGAAGCTTCTAGGGTGCGGCATCCTTCCGTCGGTATTGCGAGACTGCCATCCGCGGCGCGAAAATCCCGCTGGTAATCGCCGAGCGATGAGCAACCCTCTCAAGCCAAGATACCACTTTCGTAGTCGAGAACGAGACGGGCATGTCCCACAAAAGTCTGGCGGGGGTTGAGGGCCAAATCGCCCGCGTGACTCGCTAACGCAAGGTCGGTGTGCAAGCAACGGCTGTCACGATAACATGCTCCGGTACTTCATGCAACAACAGTTTGTTGAGCAGGTAGGGCGTTGGGGAGAAATCCTCGATCGATGTAGTCTTCAAGAGCCACTCTCCTCTTCTCCTCTTGATCAGACCGGTTCTGGCGCTTCGCAGCTTACAGATCGGACGTCATCCGCCATTGTAAGACGAATGCATCGAGTTGCACGATGAGGGTTTCAGTCATTCTTCTAATGTACGTCAGTATACGTCTAGAGGAAGGCACCTTACTCTGTAATTGTTAGTGTGCTCTTACTTGAGGCTTGGTGCTGCCGCCCACCGGCCGCGGGGTGCCACCGAATCCGGACATGTGGGGCCTAGTTTGTTGGAGTACAGCAGGTCGGCTCCGGGGACTGTTCGGCCCCGCTCCGGCTGCTATTCCGGTTTTGGCACAGGGTAGAGCAGCCCAACGGCCCATCCGGAGGGCCAAATCAAGACTACGAGGTCCAAGAAAATGCCTCAGTCTTGCTTGAAGCAACTTTCATCGCGGCACAGCCTAGTTTCCCTGCCGACAGTTGATCAGCGACAGTTTACTGTACTTCAGTGGCCCTGATCCACCGTCCTCAATAACATGAGAAACTCGGTATATGGCTGATTTCTATGGCTCAAAGACACGCATACTTGTTTGCAACATACTTCAGGACAAGGCTCACATTTCATAGCGCTCTGCTCGTGATATTGCAACACCTTTCTGGCTCGATGTGAATTGTTTTCATGTAGATATACTCCCAATTTGCGAGTACTAGTGTACACACTCACTGACATTATAATTCATGAGTTACTGGCTGAAATTCCCAATCTTCTTGCTGGCGAATTCTGCCAAAGACAACACCTGAGTAGCCTCATCAATCGAAAGCCAAAGATCCCCATAGCTGAGGACGCGAATAGTAACATTAGACTGACCAAGCAAGCAAGTAGGTGGTTCTAGCTGCGAGGCTACTGAGCTTGAGGCACTCTACATCGAATAAGACGTGACACAAACAGCATCCCAGCTGTAGGCTCTGTGAAGGACAATCACCGACTTTTGGAAGAGGTTGTAAAAGGACGGTGACATGAGCTTACCTCGTGAAGTCAAGTAGTCGTGCTGAGGGAAAATCTGCGCCGAAAGTAACTCGAATGCCGTCTAGGGAGTTCATCATTTGCACATCGTCGAATATCACTTGTAATATTAGCATCACTCACCGCCGAGATACACCTGGGTGTCGACAACTTCATACCTACCTTATATGTATGTACACATGTGCTAGCTCGCTGGCACCATATCAGTTGCTAGATGGCCGTAAATGAAATCCCAAAAAGATCGGCATGACTCTCCGATTATAACCTCAGATACTCGCTCTATCTGGTCTTATCTGGTCCTTAACAGAACTTGATGCTATACCCATATGTCTGTAAAGAATTCCCTTTGTGCAAATTTGGAAAGCTGATGTCAAGGCACCTTGTTCCCACCATCAATGAAGCGAGGAAGAAGACCATGTAGTAGAGATTCTCATTCAGCGCCATCCACACTTTCGAAATGATCTTACTAATTCAAGTAGTCTGGCAAGGCGTCGCAGGGCAAATACCTAACCACAGGTGCTTATCTACGACGGACTGAGGTTCAGATCTCTCTGCTGCTGCTAACTTCGGCTGTATTCCTACCTTACTTGCCCATGCTTCCTTGCACTAAACTGTACGCTATACTTCGCTGCTCTAGACGGCATGAACCACCGGGTGAACATCGAGCTCGGAACCATTCGGGCGTGTAGTAATATAATAAAGAAACGTAATACTTCAGAAGACACCGCAGAAATCTGAAAATGCTCGTTAGCTTGTAAGTGTTCGTTATGTTTGAGGTGAAGTATCAACGACTGACAAAACCCACTGCGGGTCCACCACAAATAACTATCGTGAACCCACCAGAAATTCAAAAACATACAACACCAGGTATTCGCTGGTCGTCACCGACCCAACTACTAATCCGGCCCTCATTGGCTTATCTATGGGAGAGCGGACGGGATCCCGAGTTTTCCAATGGGTATGGTCGTATGTGGTGATTTATTTCGGGGGAAGCACTTATATCGCAAAGTCGGGTAAGGTTGAAGTGGATGTTTTCCTTGATTGAAACACACAGATGGCCGTAAGAAGTGGGTTTTTATCAGACTGGAAGCTATCTAATGTCCCAATTGGAATGTATGCCTCTCGTGTCGAGTCGACAGTTGCTCGATTGTCCGCTCTGTGGAAGCCTGCCGTGTCATCTTTCATCTTTCTACTAACGAAACACAGACCTGAAAGACTTGTATAAGAATCTGACGGCCGAAAGTATAGACGTTCAATGAATCAAACAGTACAGTTTCGTATTGCATTTCAGGGGCTTTGATCAACCCAGCAAGTGATACTTGCCAGCTTGGAGGGGGGTTTGCCACAGGCGTTATATGTCACCCACTGAACCCCCTCGAAGGCCGACGGCACCCTGGAATCGTCTCGTATGGCTAAAGGGATTCGGGAAACAATCTCCCAAGTCAGAAATTCGTCTCTGTGACATATTGTACTCGGCAGCTAACTGCTGTCACTCTCTAGCATCCAACCTCCTAGCTCCTAAGAGCCAGACGAGCACTGGTGAGAGTAGGAAAGCTACAAAGGCGTCATCTAAGACTCGTCCGCCGGACCACGGCAATATCTAGCAACCGGAAGGCGAACAGCTACGGGGTCAACGGATCTTTAGAATACCGTCCACACTCGGGCGTAAGGACTGGCAAATCACGAAGTCGGCGGTCAAGCAAGACCGACCCCGAAAGACATAGGAATCAGTTAGCCAATTTTTCTTTCGTTTGCCGCTCTAAGTTGTCCACCCGTTCTCGGGACCGACTCGGTGCTCTTCGGTGAGGTCCGCTTACTTGGGAGCAGCGGGGACTCTCCGAATCACGAATTCGCCGCTCAGACGTGGAGCTAATGTAGCCCTACACGATACATCATAAATGTACAACATGGCCGCCCACGGCTCTAGCAGGCTCGAGACTAGCGGGATCAAAAAAATGCTTGAACTGGATCATGGCCAACCGGTGGCGTGAGATGATTGTTGCTCAGGAGCAGGCGACAACCATCAACTCCAAGGAGTCTGGTAGAGCTGTGTTCAAGAGGAAGCCGTCAACACACCATCTAGATCAGGGTCCGCTAGATGAGATCCGCCGAGTCAATATAGGATCAAATCACACGTCCTTCTCAATAATCTCATGCTGCCATGCCTTGCATGTACAACTTTCGTGGTCGGATCGGGATTCGCTCTCGCTGACTTTGGTCTCCGGAAGTGCCGGATGTTAGGCTACCCGCGGGAAAAGGGTCTTTATAATGGGTTCGATGGATCTGGTTAGTGATGATGTACACAGTATGCGATTGAGAGTGAGGAATAGTGCAAAATAAGTTCATTGTCCATCTAATTCCCGAAGAAATAAGCAAAGAAGACAAAATTGTCAACTACGCACTGCTCTACCTATACGCCAATATTTTCCAAACCTCCGTGCAGACCCTGCTTTCGCCCTTCGCCCTTTCGCTTCAATGCATACCGGCGTGTTGCCATATACATGCTTCGAGTAATTTCTCACGCACACCGGAGTTGACGGATAGCATGCCCCCGAGTAGGGGTTGTGGAGTCGAATGTCTTTGCCGTCGGCTCCGATCAGAGGTCGCATGTTGGTCCTCTAGGGTTTCCCTATTCCTCCATATGTCGTGCCCATGTAACGCCGTGATTGCGCCGTCTAAACAAGTGGTGGACTTTCACCACCCTATCCCGTCACCGTAGTTGACCCCGCCGTCTTCGAGATTTTCTTCTCCTGCCCGACTTTCTTAGTTGAGAAAGCTTGAAGGCGTGATTCTAGTGGGAGCTGCTGATGGTCGAAGCAGATGATGAGCTGGTCTGTGAGTCGGTAGAGTTTGTCCTCGTCGCCTTCGTGCGCTCGCTTGGGGACCGTATTAGTGCGAAATGTCAGAGATCGAGCACGGTTGCTTCACTCACTACGTAGAGCGGTCCTGGAGGTGACACTCATACTTGGCACTGCCAGTCTTGAACTGGAAACGGATGCCCTTGTTCTCCAGTACGGTCTGGAGTTGACCCTTCTGAGCGTCGGCGGAAGGCATGTTGAAGTTCGCGGAAGAGGATGCTTCAGAGTTTTCGATTGCGGTTGTCTTTGAAATGTTGCGAATGGTATGAAACGATTGTCAGTAGACAAAGTAAGCAAGATACTGTTTGGAGAGAGACAGTCGAGGCAGAATGAAGGGAACAGCAGCTTGTTTATATAGTAGAGAGCAAGGGCTTTCGCAACACTAATACGGCTGCCGACTTATCCAGAATCGTTGGCCACCCGCTTAGACTCGCAACAGACACGCGCGGAAGAAAAGGCCCCAGCACTGGCGAACCCCAAGGTTCGCCGATTCGGGGACGAGGACTATTACATGGAAGTGGTTAACCCCGCAAAGATCCACTGCTAAGGCAAGTAGGGCAAGGGAAGCCGATATGAGCGAAATTCGAGTTTGAGCTGGAGACTGGGAATAGCTGTCAACCCCGAGTTTAATCGAGAGATGGTAGTCATTCGTTCATTTAGCCTGCATGGTACCCCATATTGCTTAGCTTACGGACCACTCGGTCACAGTGTATCCTAATACTCATCTACATGCTCAGGTACCAAGCACCAACACGGGGTCTTAGTCTTGAAAGGACCCAGATCAGACTCCGGAATATTGTTTCTGCCCCCTCCCATCGTTCCGTAGTAGGATTCTTGGGTACGCGACATCCTGTATCCGGTACGTTGGTGTTCAAGAACCCCATTGGGATTGTCACTCGGGTTTACAACATCAAGAGGTATTACTCGGGCAAAGTGCTACTCCGTACCAGCTGCTACCTCTCAATTCTTCCCGTGGTATACGATACACTGCTGGGGATTTCTTCGTGGGGCAGACAGAGATAGGTGATCGGTTGTCCCATTCGCATTCCGTGAAAGCTCTACAGTCACTTGTCTTCAGCTTGCCCTCTGTATCGTAACACGGCATTACCCTTGACTTAACCCTTACAGCTTCTCTTGACTTTCATACTCGTACACGTCCAACAGTTGATTACAAGTCGTCACTCTCCAAGCTTACGTTTCCCTTCCTTCTGAGTGCGACAAAGTATGCCTCTTTTGAGTCCTGTGAACGAGTCAGCGTATTCTCATACACAATGCGGCTCTCTGTCCATACACTGCGAGATGACTCTGGCTTCTCTCGAAAAACCTTTGCAAATAAGGTCTTCAACTTCTTTTCAAACTCTCTGTCCTCGGAACCTTGGTAGAACTTGCAGACAAAATGCCCGCCGTTCTTGAGCGTGTCGTTGGCGAACTGCAGTGCCGCTCCGCATAGGTCCTTGGTTTCTCACCTCAGTAACTTTATATCTAGACAGCAGCAGGGAAGGGAAAGATACGTACCATACTTCCAGCGTGGTCTCGGAATGCCATGCCGCTCGTGTTCATCATCCTATGATAGGGATTACTAAGACTGTTCACGCCGAATCCACTGGTCTGGTCCCAAGGTGCTGACATGTCACTCAACACAATCTGGTCCTTACGTCAGTCTACAACATCCTAAATGATCTCGAGGTGGGCGATGAGGGAGAACAATGGGAAAGACTGACATCCACCAATCGACCTTTCTTAGCTTCCGATCCATCCTTGGCGGTACTTGTGGTTTCGGACGCTGCTCTCTCCATGTCGATGTAGCTCGGTTTTTCCTCAATGACTGTAGCCTCGCTATCCGCAGATGATTCTTCTTCGTCGTTTTCTTGTTCTTCATCTTCTTCTGCTGGCGGTGAGTTCCGCTTGCGGTGTCTGGCTCGCTCGAGATAGTCCTTCACCATGCCCTGGACGTCGGGTGAAAGGAAGTTGCCTTGGATTGTTGAGACGCCCTTGGGTGGCTGTGCGGGTATGATGTCGATGCCCAGGATCTGGCCATTGGGCTTCGTGCGCTCGACAGCAACCTGTTTAGCGATGTTACACGTACTCTCCCCTAACGCGACTTCCCGTTCATCTAGGAAGTCTTCTCACAAACCGGCGTACCTGTGACCAACTCCCTGGAGCATATCCCTTCATCGCTTTCTCAGCCTCATTGCCTCAATCCTCTCTTGAAGGGGACATCAAGTTACTCTCGGAGACTCACCAGATCTACTACCGTCTGCCCTTTGCGAAATATCTTGTATTTGGCATCCATCTATAATCTTCGTTACCATGGTGTGCTCTTGATTGACTTCTGAACAAAATTTGATGGTTTCGTACCTCTAGGAGCTTGAACGCAGCCCGACTCTTGAGCCCCTGCACCTTGGCCTCGCGGGCGAAAAAGTCTTTACCCTGCCTCATCTTCCACCGCGAGTTGGAAGAAGATGCGCGCATCTGAAAAGTCCCAGGAAAGCTTATTTGACATTGCTTGCATGTTGTGAATATGCTGGAAGAGGGTTGACGCAAGGCAGCGCTCCACAAAGGGCGATATGCTGCTTCTGACATTGTGCGAATGTGTTGTGATAATGGTGGTTAGGATGAGGTTGGGTGTCGTCTTCTCAATTCTCACATGACACGTCAAGACTGTTGATCAGAGTCGGCAGAGTTAATCATGCTTGAGCGTTCAAAGTCGTTATGTCGCTCGATGCTCATGAAATGAACGATGAGAGACGTTGAAGGGAAGCTTCTGCAATTGAAGGAGAGCTGAGAAACTTGATTGGCCCAAGCTTCTCGGATGCGACCAGGGGTAAGACTCTAAGGCGACCTCAGGTTTTGACGAGGTATTGGCTTCAATTCCTTAAGCGTCCAACATCTCCTTAGGCACAACTGAAAGCCCTCGAAGCGCTTACTTACACAGATACTTGCAACAAAAATCATTGATCAGGACGCGAAATTCGGCAGAATGGCAACCGCATGCGGTCTCTCAATTGGGTGCTTAGAAAACCCTACTTTATCTGTACAAGAACCTCACCAACCAGCCAGCCCTGAACGTAAAAACAACCGACCGAAAACGCCGCCGATGCATTGCCCCTTTTGACTCCTCCCGTTGAGCTGAAATTTCAAGGAAAAGCATTCTTCGCTTGAAAGCAAAATGATTCAAAACCACTCACGCCAGGAAGCTGGCACCGACTCCCCTTCTGTCTTTCTTGAGCGGCGAGAATGACTTCTTGCCAAAAGCGCCAGCGTTCCTCACCATGCTAAGATGAGTCTTGCCGAGAGCTCTGCCGGCACCCATGCCAACCTTGCCAGGCCGCTTGGTAGCAGCGGGAGGCGCTTCGCCGTCGTCATCATCGAAGAGTGTTGCCGTTTCACCGCCCAACTTGCGCTTCTTCTTCTTGACTTCTTGTTCGCTCTTGCTAGCAGCGGGAACCTTTGCGGGAACCAGATTCTCTGGCTCTTCAGAGTGAGGCTCCTCCAGCACCTGCTCAAGAGGAGCACTCGACGGAATGTGAGGTTTGTCAGCCGCAGCCGAGACCCCCTGCACAGGCATATTTGGCGATGTTTCCGTCAAGGCCTTCTTTGGTCGGCCACGGGGCTTCTTCGCTTCACCATCATTCTTGGATTTCGGCTTTGCTTTCGTTGTCTTGGTGGGAGCAGGCTTATCTGCGGACTCTTCCTGCCCTTCGACCTCCTCCAACTGTGCCGGCGCATCTGCAATCTCGACCTCGGTCCTAGTATCGATCTCGACCTCTTGGGAGTGAGACTGGTGAGACAGAGGGATATAGCTGACATCAGCTTCCTCGTCCTCTTCGGCGACGGCATCCTCGACATTGAGCGTCTTAGACTTGGCCAAGAAAGGAGTAATGGAGAACAGTGACTTCTCGCCCAACATCGTCTGCTCAAGACCCTTCTTCTTAGCAGGGCGCCTGCCGCGAGTGATGTCTTCTGGCGTGCCAAGGCTCATGTCGTTCATGGTGACCTCTTCGACTCTGCGCTTCTTGCCGGCCTGCGCCTTTGCGCCTCCGGCACGCGCAGGAAGCTGTGCACTTGGTATCGCTGCTGGTCTAGCAACCAACTCCGCACGAACGGCCTTCAACTCATCCTGAGCGTTGCGCAACTTGGACTTAACCGTATCTAGGCGCTGTTCGAGCATCTCGTTTTGCGTTTGGGCCTCAGACAGAGCCATCTCATGCTCTTTTCGTAGCCTTTCCCGCTCTCGTCTCTCGACTGAAAGCACCTGCTCCATCTCTTGGATCTTCTGAGTCAACTCGCGTTCCGCCTTCTTGTTCTCTTGTCCAGCCTTTGCGGCTGAGACGGCAGCCTCAAGCTCTTCCTGCAAATGTTCCTTTTCACGCTTCTCCGTCGTCAGCTTCTTCTCGACGTCCTTGAGCCTGCGCCGCAATTCATCTTCGGTCGATTTGTCGCCCTCCGCTTGTGCAGTCTGCTGTTCCCGTGCTCGTTTTTCGGCAGCCAACTCTACTTCAGCCATATTCAGCTGACGCTCTAACTCCAGTTTCTCGGCGATGACATGTTGCTGGTGGGCGACTTGTGACCGCAGATGCTCCAGTTCAGGTTTCATGGCGTTCACCTCCCGAGAGAGGGTAAGCTTCTCTGCAAGGACTTTCGTAGAATCTTGAGACAGGCTGTTGAGGGATTCGAGTTCGGCCTGGCACATTCAAAGTTAGGATAGTTCGTCGGGTGTTGCCGAATCGGCGTTCACACCAACCTTGATGTGACCAAATTCCCTCTTCTGAGCCTTAAGCTGCGTATCCTGGTCGCGATTTGTCGCCTTTAATGATTCCAAGTCACTGCGCGTTTGGTCGAACTTTTCGGACAACTGATTGACTTGCGCTTCCCTTTCGGCAAGCTTTTCGCGTAATGTCGCGTTCTCGTCAAGAAGAACTTGTTTGGTGACCTTCTGTCTCCGCGTGTCTTCCTCCTTGACAATGAGCTGTGCTTTGTGGATGTGTTGCTGATGTTTCATTTCGAGCTCGTGAGCCGCAGCGGCCCTCTGTGTGAGAATTTAGAGACATACCATTGTTAACTGACCGACTAAGACTTACCTCTTCCGAGTCCATGTTCCTAGTCTTGCAAGGCATAATGGCGGTGTTGTGCAGTTGCTTCTGCGCTGGAAGCGCGTCGACGCGATGGATTCGGAGGCTCCTAAAGAGGTGTTGTGTCGCTTGAAGCTACGACGTTATGTTTCAGAAGTCTTCTTTCACCACAATGCGCGACAGTGGAGATGCCCGCGCGTAAATCAATTGAGGTTCGCGATGTCGATGTTGAGATGGTGGTGTGTTTGGGTTGATTTTGAAATGGAGTACTAATGGGCAAGGTAAACATGGTTCCCAAAGTGGTTAGTCCATCGACACTGACCCCCGCAGGGAGTCCAGGCAGACTGTCTCCACAGTTTGTGAACTACGCTGATGTCTCGGTAAACGGTTTGACGGTTCGGGATGACATAACACTGGGAAAGTTCAGGGGACCAGCTCCTCTCAGGAAGAACCAAAATCCGAATCCGAGCGAGCTACCCCCGACAGCCCCGATCGTGCTTTCCTTCCACACCCCAATCGGGGTACCTTGCCATCCCGTCCTTACTTAAGCCAAAACGAGAGCGATACGTACACCACCTTGCGATTCGACCCACTTCTCTGTGGGTTGTCTGCCGCTGTTGAGAGCTGTCCAGTTCGAGCTGTTGAAGTTCAGTGTGTGGCATCTCGACGACACTCGCGGCGCGCACCAGTTCATTACGCCAGCCCGACTTCCATATCACCAGAAACGGCCAATTGGCCACATCCTTAACCTTTCGATCGCCTCCCAAGCTCTAGTTGCGTCTGAATCATCGGCGCATCCCTAAAAATGCACTTCCTTCGCTCCCTCCTAACGGGAACCTTTCTCGCTGCCGGCGCCTTCGCAGCCAAGAAGACCCCCGAAGAACGATTCAACGATTTCCACGCAAAGGCCCTTACCTCGTCCCCGATCAAGCTCGCCGATACTAGCTACAAGTCTTTGACTTCTGCTCCCCGCGATTACACCGTTGCAGTCCTCCTGACCGCTCTCGAGAACCGATTCGGTTGCCAATTGTGCCGCGAGTTCCAGCCGGAATGGGATCTTCTGGGTAAGACCTGGACCAAGGGCGACAAGAAGGGCGAGTCGCGCCTTCTCTTCGGTACTCTCGATTTCTCTGATGGCCGCGAGGTCTTCATGTCGGTAGGAAACCCCAGTCCGGAACCGGGTGACAATGGACTCGGCCAAGAACTAATACGATCACTACCAGCTCGGCCTCCAAACCGCCCCCGTTCTGCTCCTGTTCCAGCCCACCATCGGTCCTCACGCTGTTGCTGCCGTCGATCCTCTGCAATATGACTTTACCAGCGGGTGAGCTATCTGTCTCAGGAACGGAGTGCCTCGTAGAATACGCTAACGACTTAAAACAGACCTCAGTCTGCTGAGCAGGTCCATGCCTGGCTGTCGAGACACCTTACTGACCGACCCCACCCTCCGGTGAAGCGCCCGATCAACTGGATGCGATGGATTTCTAGCATCACCATTGTCCTTGGTCTCGGCACTGTCCTCGTTACTGCCTCGCCTTACATCCTTCCCGTCATTCAGAACCGCAACTTGTGGGCCGCTATTAGTCTCATTGCCATTCTGCTCTTCACCAGTGGCCACATGTTCAACCATATCCGCAAAGTTCCCTACGTTGCTGGAGATGGCCGGGGTGGTATCAGCTACTTTGCCGGTGGCTTCCAGAACCAGTTCGGTTTGGAGACCCAGATCGTAGCTGCTATTTGTTTGTTTACATCCCCTTCCATGTCAAGTCTAGAAGCTAATCGGAAGTAGACGGTGTCTTGGCTTTCTGTGCCATCTCTCTCACCGTTAAGGTGCCTCGCATTGGCGACAACAAGAGACAGCAGGTTGCTGTTTTGGCCTGGGGTGGTGTTCTGTTCATCATGTACAGCTTCCTTCTCAGCGTTTTCCGCATCAAGAACGGTGCCTACCCGTTCTCTCTGCCTCCTTTCATGTAAGGATGCTTTTTGACAAGCCGGCACTATCGGAAGAAACGACCTGCGCTAGCAACTTCTCGTCTGGCTTCGAGTTGTTCGCTATCGCTGTTCGCTAGGATAGCCATACCTTGGCAGTGGCCAAGAGCCCCAGTGTCACCATTGACACAAATGTAACATAGCGGAAAGAAGTCACCAGAAGCTCATAGAGAGGGTGATTAGACGTGGCAAAATGGAATTCCACGAGTTGAACTACAAAAGCATCGTAACACAATTTTCCACCCATGTTGGGTTCCGTTCACTGTAGTTCCGTTGAACAAGACGCAAGGGAATAGCTTATGGCCTGTCCGCAAGTCCCCTTTTTAAGGCAATGTGCTTGTGTCTCGCGGTGCCTGGTAATTTATACCAGACCAGGAGTCGACTCTGTCTTTGTGTTAGACCTGGGTGATCGATCTATATTTACTGAGCTCCTTCTAAGTCGCCTCGAGAAACCATGTTCACACGCCTGATGCCTCTTTAATCCATCTATCGGGATGCTGCCTCAAGATCAACTAGGTTACTGTCTCGACCTTCCAAACAAATAGTATATTGTGTGAATAACTTGAAGCTCCGAACGATTAAACAACCTCAGACTAGGTTAAACGAGGTTCATGGTGCTACGACGCATGTCCTTCACTTATCCAGGTGACTGTTCAGGCAGATTGATGAGCACCGAATTCTTTATTGCTTGTCATGCTGACAGTTGTCTCCTGCCTAATGAGGTCGAACCCGGGCCGCATGGCAGCATTTAATATCAACGAATTGTCGCACCATTCTAACTTTGGGGGGCGAATAGAGGAGGTTTCATCCGGCGGCATCTGACCAATTTACAGTTGAAGTAGCCAAGCCGTGAAGCCAGGATCGGAGTTTTTAGCCGGCCAAGGAGAAATTAAGCACTCAGCACGAGGATCGTCCCCCGCTGATCTGGGGTTGTTGCCGGCTAAAGTGATGACTACCACCCTAGCTCGTAACACTTTATTCTGTCCTCGGGAACTTTAAAGGAACGAATCACTTTAGCTAGGATTGGTCATTAGCTACCTCGTATGCTTGGGGTAATACTGTTTTGACTGAAGGCTCTGGGATGTCTGAAATAATTAGACTCGCCGTATGGCACTGTGTTTCTTAGGGCAACATCGATTTCTAATATGCACACTAGGTCTGCTTCAATTTTCCTTCACTTTTATGTGTTTTCGCTGTACAACACGTACTGAAAAATAAGGGGATGGGAATAGGTGAAAACAACCAGAAAAGGCAAGTGAACTGCAATGCTTACTAGAGCATCGGACTCTCTGCACCTACTGCTAGCCATTATAAAGCAACTACCGCGGAAGTACTGGATATCTTACGATATCCGGTTGAGACGGCCCGTACTTGAGGAAATCTGCTAAGTTGGATGGCACCATCACTCGTCCACGGTTGGGGTAATTGTGCAGAATAGGAGATCTGCTCTCGAATGGTCGAAGCGGAGGTTGGTTTGACGAGGTAACATTTTCTAATATTGCAAATACCACAATGTTCTGGGTGTTCTAACCATAATATTAGACTCGCAGGCCAATCATTTCTTGATTATTAGATGAGGTTATCAATCTGGCGGTGATCTTTCCATCGAGAACCCTCGATCGTGAGGTGCTTTGGTGGACACCGCGTAGCATGAGTTTTGTCTGATTGCACTCATGACAGAGCCCATCACCTTGCCCATGGGAACCGCTCCCTTGGATAGACATTTTTGGTTCGGAGGCTTGACACCGAAATCAATACAGCCGCCGGGCCTGGTGCCTGATTGACGTTACTCGGAGGTTCAGGGATGAACAAAATGCAAGACACGGGAGGTTGATCAATCTTTCGAGGTATCATTGATGTAGATAAATAGTGTCATGGCTCCCAGCGTAATCATGGCTCTCATCAGGATCCCAGCATCGCCACTACAGAGCTCATCATCTTAAGAGAGTATTATTATCACCAAGATGAAGTTCACCGCCGCTACGTTGGCGGCTTTGGCCTCGACAGCCATTGCTGCCCCTTCTCAGACGATCAAGGAGCAACCTCGGGCAGCAGCCGCTGCATGTTCTGCCAACGTCTCCCTGGATGCGAAGACCAATGTCTTCTCCAAGTACACCTTACACCCCAACAGCTTCTACCGTGCCGAGATCCAGGCCGCAGCTGCAGCCATCTCGGACAGTACGCTCAAGGCCAAGGCGCTGAAGGTTGCTGACATCGGCTCCTTCCTCTGGCTGTATGTTGAACATCGCGAGCCCTTCCTTACGCAATTTGATACTGATATTGCAGCAATGCAGTGACACCATTGCCAACATTCAGCGTCTCACGCCCGCTATCGCTGATGTTCCCTGCAACAACATTCTCGGCCTGGTCATCTACGATCTCCCCGGACGTGACTGCGCTGCCAAGGCTTCCAACGGCGAGCTCAAAGTCGGCGAGCTGAGCCGCTACAAGACGGAGTACATTGATCCCATTGTCAAGATCCTGAAGGCGAACCCCAAGACCGCCTTTGCTCTCGTCATCGAGCCTGACTCCTTGCCCAACCTGGTCACCAACGCCAACCTCGCAACCTGCCAGGCCTCGGCATCGGGCTACCGCGATGGCGTTGCGTACGCCATCCAGGCTCTCAACCTTCCCAACGTCGTCATGTATCTCGATGCTGGCCATGGAGGTTGGCTTGGGGTAAGTTCATCATCACATCCGTCCAAGTGACATATTCTCGCTCAGTCTTGCTTTCCATATCCTGATCATGTTGCCTGACTGGTTTCATAGTGGAACGACAACCTCAAGCCTGGTGCCGAAGAGCTCGCCAAGGCATACAAGGCCGGCGGCAGCCCCTCGCAGCTTCGAGGCATCGCCACCAACGTTGCCGGATGGAACTCTTGGTAAGTCTAGCTCATATGCCCAAAACTTTGAAAAGTAGGAAACAACGCAGCGAGAGCCATTTCACTGACATGATGTACTTCCAGGGACGCCGAGCCTGGTGAATTCGCCAACGCCCCAGATGGCCAGTACAACAAGGCCCAGAACGAGAAGAAGTACGTCACCCTCCTCGGCGCCGCCCTTCAGACGGCCGGCATGCCCAACCACGCCATCGTCGACACGGGCCGCAACGGCGTTCAGGGCCTCCGTCTCGAGTGGGGCGACTGGTGCAACGTCAACGGTGCCGGCTTCGGCCTCCGCCCCAGCGGCAGCACCGGCCTCGAGCTCGCGGACGCCTTCGTCTGGGTCAAGCCCGGCGGCGAGTCCGACGGCACCAGTGACTCGAGCGCCACGCGCTACGACTCGTTCTGCGGCAAGTCGGATGCCTACAAGCCATCTCCCGAGGCTGGTACCTGGAACCAGGCCTACTTTGAGATGCTGCTCAAGAACGCCAAGCCTGCCTTCTAAGTTAAACAGAAAGGCTTCCGCTACTCTGGCCATGTTGACCGCAGCGAGAACCCAAAACTGTCGGAAAAAGGGGGCCTCTGCTGAGTTTTGTCTTTCACACATGGCGTAGTTACATTCTCTCCGTATATATACAATGCCAAGTCATCATATATCTGTATCATTTGTATCTTGTTCTATGTGATGCAATGAGGGCATGGGGTCTTGAAAAAGGTGCGACTAGACACCACACATCAAAGAGACTCGGTCGTCACATCTCACAGCAAGAAGGCCAATGTGCTCATCATGAGGGCAGTTGCTTACCCTGTGTTGTGCATAACATGGGGGCATAGTAGTTGCTGGAATGCCAAGTCTACAGACAGACATGGCGTTGAAGGACGATTTTTCACAGTCATCACTCAAGGCAGGATTGATGCGAATGTGTGCTGACCGAGTCAACATCACGAGTTAAATGAACGAGAAACAGGATTTTTTTGAGTTTGCCAGGATCTTTTGATTTGGGCGTTACGGGTTCATGTCCGAGTCCTTTCGTGGGCTACCTACAAGCCAGCCATGCAGTCTCATCCCCAATTTTTCACAAATCGTTTTGACCCTGCGCATCCCGAAAGACATAACGAGGAAGCCAGCCTAGGACGCCCGCCATGATCTACCAAGAGAGCCCTTTCCCCACCACACTTCGTCACCATCATCGCATAACCCAGAGAGAGAGAACAGAAGAGAGCTTCACGCCCGTTTATGCTCTCGACATGACACCCCAGGCACGGATGATGTTGTCGGTGTAACCGGCGAACAGGGTCTGGCCATCGGCAGACCAGGCCAAGCTCACGCACTCAGGCTCACGGCTCTTCTTGCCGACAGCAGTGAACTCGGGCTTGAGCTCATCAACCTTGCTCTTCTTCTCAAGGTCGAAGATGATGATGCTGCTGGCGGTAGCAGCGCAGAGCCAGTAGCGGTTGGGGGAGAAGACAAGGGCGTGGATCTCGTCGTTGGCGTTGAGGGAGTAGAGGTGCTTGGACTCGTTAAGGTCCCACAGCATGGTGGTACCGTCCTTGCCACCGGAGGCGCAGAGGGATCCATCGGGGGAGATGGTGACGGTGTTGATGTAGCCGGTGTGGCCAATGTGGTCAGTCTGCAGCTTGCAGGTGCTGAGCTCCCAGACCTAGAAGTTTGTCCTTGTCAGCCATTCTGATCTATACAGAATTATCCACAAGGCAAAAATGAAAATTGAAGGTGCGAGATCAGGGCAATGGTGAATAGTGGTCTCATGGCCTGCACGGCAGGCTCTGAAGTAGCAAATACTTTGGTTGCAAGCATCATGTCGAATCGAGTTGTTGTGGCGATTTCTCCTGGGAGACGAATAAGGGGGTGCTTGAAACTAACCTTGACGAGCTTGTCCCAGCCGGAGGAGACAATGACGGGGTTCTGGGGGTTGGGGCTGAAGCGGACGCAGGAAACCCACTCGGAGTGACCCTTCTCGGAGATGGTGTACTTGCAGTCACCGAGGGTGTTCCAGAGCTTGATCGTGCGGTCGCGGGAGCCGGAAACGATTTGTCTGTTGTCGGCGGAGAAGGAGACGGACAGAACGTCGTTGGTGTGGCCGACAAAGCGGCGGGTGGTGGTGCCGGTGGCAAGCTCCCAAAGGCGGAGAGTCTTGTCCCAAGAGGCAGACAGGGCGTAGGCGCCGTCCGAGGAGATAACCTATTTTCCTTCCCATCAGCCCAGAGTTCCCAGTGATCCTAGTCCAGCCACAGAGGGCGAAGGAAATTCTTCGTAAAAATCGGAGGGGTTCGAGAGACGTACGCAGTCGGAGACGATGTGGGAGTGGCCCTTGAGGGAGCGCTTGGGGTAACCGTACTGGGACTCGTCACGGGTGAGGTTCCAGATGATCAGAGTCTTGTCACGGGAAGCGGACAGGAGCATGTTGGGGCTGTCGAAATGTTAGCGATTGCTGTCCTTCGAGATTCTTGGCCTCCTCCCCCGCCGCCGCCACTGTGCAAAGGCTCGCATGTCGTTGCCCATTTTGAAGAATCCCATCCTTCTCGAAAATCAACGTCGGCGGCAGCGGTAGCCGGGGAGGGGTGATCGCAAATGAAGAGGATTGTAGGAATGGTCGTACTTCTCCATGGAGGTAGCCAGGCTGGTGACCCAGCCATTCTGCAAAAAGCATCGCCGTCAGCCTCAAGCACAACGCAAAAATGACCGGCGCAACGCTGCGGCGTGCGGGCAAATGAGACGGCAACAACTTACGTGGCCCTCGAGGGTACCCTTGAGAATCAACTGCTCAGCCATTGGGAAATGAGGCAATCAGGTCGATTGAGTGGTGAGGGAAAGGTAGAAAGATTGGAGTTGATTCTGAGCGTCACACCTTTGACCCTTGGGGAGCTTGAGCTGAGATTCCGGATTTTGGGTGTGGGTGAAAAAAATTAGCAAACTTCGCTTAGGGCCTGGCAGGTGGAAAGAGCGCCAGCCTTGCTCCTGCTGCGCTCGGTGTGGGTCATCGAGGTGGGGCTGGAGCCAATGGGGGTCGCTCGTGGCTACACTTCCTCTGAATTGCTGGCACGAGGCTGATTGGCCCCGTAGTCGAACAGAAAGGGACGGTACATCGGTACCGACCTCAGAAGAATGATACCTACTTAGCCATGTCTGATGTTTCGGGCCCATCACAGGAAGTTCAGTTCTGCATGTCACTCGCTGCAGGGGCTCGCAGAATAGCACCTGTTTACCTATCTTTGGTCGCAACGTGACAAGCCCATGACTGGCAAACTTCCCGCAGATGTACGAGTTTCTCATTCAGATGTGGTCTCCCTACGTCAAGTCTCTCACACCTTTGCTGTTATCTATGCGGTCGCTGTAAAGTGCTCAACCGGATAGTCGTATGATCCTCCTCCTGCATCAGGATCCTCATTCTCGGCCTAGAAATAAGGCAATCTGCTGTGACTCGTCCACACGATGGAATACCCAAACGCCTTGCTGAATGCATGTCCATTTCCCAAAACAACCAATTTCTGTGTCTGCCTTGACTGGCACCCGACACACTGGCCTATCAACCAAAGCCCATCAGTTCTGATCATTGCTCATCCTTTTTGATTATGGTGTCGTCCTTTGAAGCACTGGACTCGCGCTTTCGGCCTCTACCGAGAGAGGATGACTAGCTTTGCCCGGCGGCTCGTTTGCTTTGTCGCTGCACTTCCCTGCGCAAATGCCGGGCGTCCGAGTTGACAATCATGCTATGATCGGCAATCTCGAGTTGTTGGCCGGTGGCGCCGCCTTCCTTTTTGACGAAACCTTCCATAGCGGCAGCCCATAGCGAATAGCGCTCCTTGGTCATAGGATCGCGCTCCGACAGAGATCTGATTTCCTTCTGCTTTCGGACCTTTGCCGCTCTGACCAGGCCTCGAAGGGCCTCCTCTCCTTGCTTCGAGGCCTTGGCCGCCTCTTCCCTCGTCTTTTGGGGGTCACGACCGTTGTCATCTTCCTTGGGTGTGTATTTGTAGGTATGTTTGCTGGGAAAGTCGGGGAAGGACTTTGGTATGTACGACTTGGCTTCCTTCTCGGGCTTGCCGCTCAGCTCCTCGCCGAGGAGAGGTAAGGTTGTGTACGCATCCGGATCATCGACCAAAGGATTGAAATATTCCACGTCCAGCTTCGCTTTGGGTACGGGATGACGAAGGTGAGGCCTCAGCGCCTTCGTCTTCAGAGTGTAGCGTCGCATCGTGGACTCGAAGTCCGCTGGAGTCGGCTGCTCCCTTCGTGCTGCTAGAGCGACACGTTTGGCATCGGCGATCATAGAGGCCATGTCTGGACGTCGAGTCAGCGCCTAAAAGCATCAGTTTTCACAAAACGTCTCGTAATCTCACAGGTCTCTACAGCCCCCAAGAAGCCCTGCATCGCTTCCGGGGTAGCGGAATCAAAGCCAACTTGCTGCAGTGCCAGTCCTATACTTCTTTCGAGGCCACTTTTTGCTTGATAATCCAAAGAAGGTATGGTGACTTTGGTCGCGCCAGGCAGGCTAGGCTCTTCATCGTCGGCGGCAAAGGGGCTTTTTGCCGCGTCGCTATTCGTCTTCTGTCTTTTTATGATTGGGTTCTCATCTTCACTAGACGAGCTCCGCTTGATCGGAGTCGTTGCCGCGGAAGGGGAAGACATGGCCGACGTCGAACAGAGCTCGAGGGAGATGGAGGCGTGTCACGGCGAGGTCGCAAACGTGCGCGCAGATGTCAAGAACAGAAGAGTCTGGGCACTTCTATAGATTCAGGTAGAGAAATGCGCGACGGTAAGGTATGCGGCGCGCGCTCCAAATGTTGGATCTGGGCCTTGGAGAGAGGAAGGCGCGGTGTCGGTGGGAGGAGGTTGTTCGAGGTCCGAGATTCGATATTGTTTGCGCCTCGGACGGAAGGTGCAGGAGCTAAGCTAAGGTAGGTACGTTGCGCGCGAGAATGGGTACGTACCGACGATTGAGAAAAAATGGGATTTGGGATGAGGCTCTTTCTCAGTCTTTCTGGGGCTCGGCAGTTGCCCCGCGGCTCACCATCCACTGAAATCGGACTTGCATCCACCCTTCGGGGCCTCTTTCAGCGCCTGGGGGGCCTGAGCCAATCATGGATGGATGACCTGGATATCTACACCCAAGGTGGACGTCCAACGCCCAGAAAAAGGAAACGACTCGGGAAGAAGTTATTTATTTCGATGACATTTATCTCTTTATCGCAATGCCGACCACTCGCAAGCCCAAGAGCGGTGTTTTTCCGTCAGACCCCTAAGTACGATCTCGTCGCAAGATATGGCATCATCGAACCACGTACTATCCAAGGGGAAGTCTCTGAGCATTGTTGTCATTCACTTTACCTTAGGTTACACTCATCACTATTCTAAAGTCAAATATGCACTGCCTTATGCATTCACATTTCCGCAGAGATACAGAGGAAACTATCTCACGACAAAAAGCTCGCCCTTTGTCTTCCTTCTGCTTAGCCGGCACACGTGTACAACAGGAGGACTTCGTATCTTTACTCACCTTACCCTACATAGTCTAATTAATGCAGGGAGACCCATCTCAGCCAGCCTGTGCTCACTATCTTATCTGAGTCAAGCGCCTCGATGCACCCCTTTCATGACCCAACAATAGACTTCCTCATAATTTCAATGTACTAGTGTTCAGTAACCTTCGCAACTTGTGTCGCTCTCTTTTGCCTTTGTCGTTGTCCTTGCTTCCTCAACCCTCTCCGAACTGGCTTAGGGGTAGAACTGAGTTTTTACCTGTCACTTCGGTAACACCAAACAACATCGCTCACCCATCCAGTGGCTATTGCAATAATGCAGGATCTCGAAACTCTGCGCAATGGAGGATATCGCGGCCAAGGTCTGCAAAAGCTCAAAATCACCGGCACTTTAGACCAGTTCCCCTCGGATATCCTAGACCTAGCCGAAACCCTCGAACATCTTGACCTCTCCGGGACCGGGGTTTCTGCTCTTCCCGATGACTTCAGCCGGCTGCGCAAGCTCAAGGTAGCCTTCTTTTCCGACTGCCGGTTCGCCGTCTTTCCCAAACAGCTGTCAGAGTGCCCCGAACTCGACATGGTGGCATTCCGCTCCAACGGCATGACGACGATCCCGGAAGATTCCTTGCCACCCAAGCTGCGTTGGCTCATCCTCACGAACAACAGCATCGAGGCACTGCCCCGAAGCATCGGCCGCTGCTCTCGGCTCCAAAAGTGCATGCTTGCCGGCAACAGTCTCACAAGCCTCCCGGATGACATGGCGGCTTGCAGTAAACTTGGCCTACTCCGCCTCTCCGCCAATAGCTTCTCCGACTTGCCAAAATGGCTGTTTGAACTCCCCGAACTCGCCTTTCTGTCTGTTGCCGGCAATCCCTGCTGCTCGGTCAGTCTCGAGGAGGAGCTTGCTCTGCTGCGCAAAGTGGACTGGGAGGATGTTGAAATGAGGGAGTTGCTCGGCCACGGAGCCTCTGGCGATATCTTCAAAGCGAGGTGGATGCTCGCCGACTCGGTGGTAGAAGAGGTAGCCGTGAAGCTGTTCAAGGGGGAGGTGACGAGCGATGGGACGCCGCTAGATGAGATGGGCGCCTGTTTGGCAGCAGGTTCGCACGACAATCTCATCAGCACATTGGCCAGCATCAAGGGCCATCCAGAGAAGCACGGCCTCATCATGCAGCTCATTCCTCCCCATTATCAGAGTCTCGGCCTGCCACCTTCCTTGGAAACTTGCACTCGAGACCGGTACGCACCAGGCAAGGAATTGTCAGGCAAGGTTATTCTTGAGCTTTTGGGTGGCGTTGCCGCAGCTGCTATTCACCTTCACAGCCGGAAAGTTTCTCACTGCGATCTCTATGCGCATAACATTCTCTTCAACAATGACGGACACGCTTTGCTGGGCGACTTTGGAGCAGCGACGATCTACGAGCACCTCGGCAGATTCAACTTTGAGAAGCTGGAGGTACTTGCATTCGCTCACCTCATTGATGACATGATCGGTGTTGCTCATGTCGAGGAGAGTGGTGAAAGAAAGCAGATTCTGCAACGCTTGCGGGAGTTGCACATCCGCTGCTCCAACTCAGTCGTCTCTGAGAGACCTACCTTTGCTGACGTCGTCGATTCTCTCCAGGCATTGGCATGAACCCCAACAGCCTGAAAAGGTGATCTTAGCCTGTTGTCTCGGCCTCTGTGGTTCCATGCGGCGAGGTATGTATGGCGGGTCCAAGAGAGGTTTCTGGGCAAGGACACATTAGCTGTGCAGATGCGAACTTCACCTGAAGTTGAGTAGATGGAGTCTTCATAACGAATAGACGCAAGAGATACGACGGGGATGAGATTTGGTGCTATAGAATTAGACACAACTTAGACTTAGACGCATTTAGATTTCATCCAAAACAATATCAAGACTGACCATCTTGATATCTTTCAGTATTTCTTGGAGAATCGTCAAATAAAATGTAGTTGCGATTGAGATTCATTGTTCAGGTGAGTTTTGGAACTTCTGCAGTTGTCAGCAGACTGTTGACCTTTTTTTCTATAAAGTCAGCGGTGATGACTGATGTGTAAGGTAGTACAGGGACCGGACAGGCGAGAGTAGAGAACGGAAGAGCTTGTCTTCACATAGTCGAAATTCTTTTCAGCAATGGAGGAGGGGTAACACATGTATGGTAGGTTGCTTCTGGAGAGTTGAAGCTTCCTACTTCGACTTCCAAGATGATAGGTAAGAAGGCATGTCCGCCTCCCATAACCCCCCCCCCCCCCCCCAAACCTGCCACGCCTGTCTTCTTCTTCAATGTGAGCTGATCAAGGGTCCACCTGTTCTAGTCCTACTGGACCTGGCCTGAGTCCCTGGCCTAGGTAACTGACCCCCGCCTACGGCACCCTCCGCTATTCGTAGGTCGCTAGCTCCCCGCTGGACCCACTTCCATATCGGACGAGAGCCGATTCGAGCAGGCGCGCAACCCAATGCCCTGCGCTTCAACCCTCAGTTGCACGATTACGGTCTCGCCGAATTCAAAGACTCACTTCACCGGCTCAGACTTCATCAACCTTCGAGTGCGATGCTCGGTACATATTAATACGCTACCGAGGACACAACATATTCTCACGACGACTGATCAGAAAGCCCTCGGCCTCTGTCCCGCTTGCTTCCCTTACGGTATCTCTTCACTCACCGTACGGTCACACTCGGCCCCAACTCTACATACGACCAAGACAGCGAACTGATGAAGCTCGCAGCATTTTGTGTACTGAAAACAGCGGCATCTTAACAGTACCTCGGTGATTGGTTTTCCGACATTGGATAAGCTTATGGGATAATTTACTGCACTTCAACTAAGTCGATAAACCCAATTCGAGAGAAGGAAAGGCAGGGAGGTCCTGTCGCCTTGAACACCACCTGATACTCACCACCCGGTCACCATCACAAGTCTGGCCTGGACCAACTCCCGCCAAGATGTTTCCTTTCGACGTGACCGCCATGCCCACACTACCGACGCGCAAGGGTCTGTTGGTGATTGACTTCAACAACGATTTCATGTCTGCCGACGGCGCCCTACCAGTCACAAACGGCAACGAACTAGTCACACGTACCCTAGAGTTGGTAAAGGCCTTCCGCAAAGTCGGCGATATTATCTGGGTGCGCAGCGAATTCGACAAGTATCGCCTTGCCGCGGGGGAACAGATCTGGGCTACCGACACAATCCCCAAGCCCAAGATTCTCGAGTCCCGTGCTAGAAGAAGGATTGGAGGCGCATCTAAGCAAGCGCCCGAAGAAACTTTCGATGCCGACCCGGAGGCTTTCCTCAGCCAACCTGGACCCAAAGTCGTTCGTTCTGGCACCCCTGGTGCCGATTACCCCGCCGCCGTCAAGGAAGCGATCGGCAAGAGGGATATCAACTTGACCAAGTCACATTACTCGGTCTTTTCCTCCGGCCAGTTGATCCAGATGATGCGCGTCAAGTTCGTCCACGAGCTTTATATTTGCGGATCACTCACCAATATCGGCGTCCACGCTTCAGCAATGGATGCCGCGACGTTCGGCTACTCCATCACCTTGGTCGAGGATTGTTGTGGTTTCCGTTCCGACGTACGTCATAATGCTTCGTTGACCAAGCTTGTCGAGGTGACGGGCTGCGAGGTGATGGAGAGTGAGGCCGTCATTAAGAAACTGCAGCCCAAATCCGAGTCAAAGCCGGCGGCCCCGTCATCACCCGTCGTGCCCAAGAGAATCGCGGAAGCCAGTGGTGTTAGAACGCCGCCCTCGGCTGATTCGTACAAGACGAAACTCGAAGAGCAGTTGGCCAATCTTTCAATCAAAAGTTCAAAGTCCTCAGCAAGCAAGCCTCCCATCTCACGCCCACGCCGAGACTTGTCAGGCCTGGGCTGTGCAACTGCTTCTGATGTTTTGGAGGTTGATGAGGACGCGGGTCCAGTCAGTGACTCAGACGACAAAGAGGTTCACAAACGATCAAAGAGGCCAATGGTAGGCAAGGGCAGTGTGGAAATAGAAGTAGACACAGACTCGGTACCGGAGACAACACCTATCAAGAAGCAGCAACTTCCCAAGAAAATTGCCGACGAGAAAGCATCTTCCACGTCCGACATTGAACTCGAGCCAGACTCGAGCCCGGATTTAGAGCCAGAACCAGCCAAAAAGCCCGTTGCCATGGACGATACAATCGAGGTCGATGACTCACCGCACGCTACCGAACCTCTGTGCGAGGGTGACACCACCGTCATTCACAATATACTCCCTTCGACCATGGCCAAGGGCATCTTCGAGAAGGTGAGAGACGAGGTCTCATGGCAGAGAATGTCCCATCAGGGCGGCGAGGTCCCTCGACTGGTCGCCGTGCAAGGCGAAGTAGCCGACGACGGAAGCATGCCAGTATATCGGCATCCGTCAGACGAGTCACCTCCCCTTTTCCCCTTCACCCCTACAGTACAGAAAATCAAGGCAGAAGTCGAAAAGGAGCTCGGGCATCCACTGAATCACGTCTTGATTCAGTTCTACCGCAGCGGCACCGACTACATTTCCGAGCACAGCGACAAGACCCTGGATATCGTCAAGGGATCGTACATTGCCAACGTCAGCTTGGGTGCGGAGCGCACGATGGTGTTCAGGACCAAGAGGCGGGACAAGGACCCGTCCGGCACCGCAACGCCGTCGGGCGAGGTCTCTCTGCAGCGGCAGGTTTGCCGCGCCAAGCTGCCGCACAACTCTCTCTGCCGCCTGGGCCTGGCGACGAACGGTCGATGGCTGCACGCCATCCGCCAGGACAAGAGGATGGATCGAGACAAGACGCCTCCCGAATTGGCTTTCGATGGGGGACGCATCTCGCTCACCTTTAGACAAATTGGCACCTTTTTGGACCGGGATAGCACCCTAATTTGGGGTCAGGGGGCCACCAGCAAGAACAGAGAGACGGCTCAAGCGGTCATCAACGGTCAGTGCCCACAGGCCGTCGACATGGTCTACGCCTTTGGAACCGAAAACCACTCGTCTGACTTCGAATGGGACAAGTTTTATGGCAAGGGTTTCGATGTTCTGCACATGAGCACTTCGCCGCGCCTCTGCGCCTCAGCTGATCCTATCACCAACATGCGCATCGCCCTGATGTTAGCCGAGTACGGCATCTCGTACGGCAAGGGGAGCATTTCGCCTTCCTTCAACTGGAAGGATAGCAACGCCGGCGGCAAGGATACAACGGCTGTTTCTGCATCGCTGCCGATTCGATTCGTCGACAATGACGTAGCAAAATCCACGGTGCAGGGCGAGTTGGCCATTATGCTCTATCTGGATTCCGTATATGGATCCAGGAAGAAGGGAGCGGCAGATAAAGCGCAAATAGATGTTGCGAAAACTTTTACACGTTTCCAGGATGGCCTTGTGCTCCTCGACAAGTGGCGAGGGCTCGAGAAGGACAACAAGTCAGGAAAGCGCGATCTCGCACCCTTGAAGAGAGAACTCGCCGCCTGGGAGGGATATGCAGGTGAGGCCGACTTCATCGCGGGCTCTAGTATGTCGTTGGCCGATTTTGCGATATGGCCGCTGTTACACGAAATCTTCAAGGACGCCAACACCGAAAGTCTGGAAGCGACCAAGAAGCTGAAGGCGTACTACGAGAGAATCAAGTCCACCAAGTCTGCCGCCAAGGTCCTTGATGCAAACCAACCTGATACCGCTGGGGCTGTATCGGCGGACCCAAAGACTGAAAGCGTGATCGAGGCATCAAAGCCGAGTGAGAGTCCCTCAGGCGAGAAGTCGCAGAAAGACTGAGCCACAAAGGGCGGTTCCCGGATGCAGGGCGAGCTTCGAGGACGAAGTATTTACATAGCGTACATCGCATGCTTGATAGCTTTGAATAGTTCCAAATACACTTTGTAGCCATGCACTGTAGTTCCTTTCTCACAGCTCTGGTCTTGATAGTTCACCTTTTCCGTGAACGGGTTGGTTATGTGAGATACACAAGTTTACGAATTGTCACAACCATTATTGAACAAAGCACGAATTCAAGAAAGGATTTTCCTGCATCTGCAATTTCTATTCCACCATCTCGTTGAGGATGGTCAAGTTTTGTTAACGCTAATTGGTCTGTGTAAGTCCCTCCAAACGATGCATATGCAGTTGGTGGGAAGTGGGTAACCTCATAGAGATAACCCGTATTTGATATGAAAACCAGTAAGGCTGGATGGAACAATGAGACCGAAATCGTTCTCGCAAAGCCTGTCTCATCAAGAATGCCCCCATAGAACGCCGTAAAGGAAGAAAATATCCCGTGCCCAGTGCCCTTTTAACGACGAGTTCCATGACCTACAAGCTCGTCGGAGCTAGTCTCATCGCATCACCTAAGAAGAGTGGGCGTCCCACGGCAAAGGGTAAGTGCCCACCCAGTCGGCCACCTCAGACCTCAACTGAACAATCTCGGGATCGTTCTCACCGTCACCAAGATGCTGCATGTAGTGTCTCAACAGACCGGGCTTCTTCTCTCCCTTCTCCTCGGCCGCCTTCTTGGCGCTCTTGTTGACGCGAATAGCGATGGTGACGGCGCGGTCAATAATGTCGGCCACGCGGCTGAAGTCCTCCTCAGTGAAAGCTCTCGTCGTCATCGCTGGCGTACCGATGCGCAATCCACCAGGCACAAGTGCCGACTTGTCACCTGGTACGGTGTTCTTGTTGGCAGCAACACCAACGAGCTCCAGCACACGCTCAACGCGGCTGCCATCGATACCCTGAGGCTTGAGATCCACAAGGATAAGGTGATTGTCGGTGCCACCGGAGACAATGCTGTAGCCCAGACCTCCCTTCTCCTTGGGAGCACCCAGTCTCTGGGATAGCGCCTTCGCGTTGGCCAGAACTTGAGACTGATAGGCCCGGAACTCAGGGGCTTGAGCCTGCTTCAAGGCAACGGCCAAGGCGGTGATAGTGTGGTTATGAGGGCCGCCCTGGTGGCCGGGGAAGACGGAGGCGTTGATGGGGCCCTCGAGATTGTACATTTCGTCCTCCTTCTTAGCATTCTGGCGACGCACTCCCTTGCGGAAGAAGATCATGGCGCCACGAGGTCCTCTCAGACTCTTGTGACTTGTAGTAGTGACGATATCGGCATAGTCGAACGGACTGGGCATGACCTTGGCTGCCACCAGGCCGGAGATGTGGGCCATATCGGCTACGAGGTAAGCGTTGGTCTTGTCACAGATCTCGCGGAAGCGCTGGTAGTCGATCAGACGGCTGTACGCGCTGGCTCCTGCCACGATGATCTTGGGTCGGTAAAGCATAGCAAGCTCCTCCAATTTGGCATAGTCGATTTGTCCAGTAGCCTCGTCCAGCCTGTAGGGGACTGTTTCGAAGTACTTTGAAATAGCGGAAATCTTCTTGGTCGGTGTCTGGTAGCCGTGCGACAAGTGACCACCGTGGGGCAGGTCCAGACCCATGAGGCGATCGTGGGTGTCCATCAACGCCGAGTAGACGTACAAGTTGGCCGGCGCACCAGACAGAGCTAGAAGAAGGTGTAAGTAAATGCGTAGGAAGCGGGCCCCTGTATTGTAAGTTGAGCGCACCTTGAACATTGACACCCCATTGCTTTGAGTCGAGACCGAATGTATCAAGAGCACGCTGCTGGCAGAGGCGCTCTGACTGGTCGATAAATTCGTTGCCACCATAGTATCTTGCGCCAGGGTAACCCTCGGAGTACTTGTCTTGGAAATAGTCTTAGCTTCCGTCACATCTGGAGCCAGCAATGGACATACTCTGCATCACACTGCCCAAGGCATCGAGGACAGCCTGGGAGGTGAAGTTCTCTGAGGGAATGAGGTTGATGAAGTGCTTCTGTCTGGTTTTCTCCTACGTATTTCCAACCGTGTCAGCGGATATGCCGTATGGGAGCATCTTCGGCGCACAAGTTTGTGTGCTGGGAAGCTATCGGTGGGCTTGGGCGGGCTCGTACCTTTTCGATAATGTCGTAGACGGCGGGGTCGGCCTGCTGAAGCTTGGCTGCCAGCAGCTGTTGCTTGTAGAGTCAGTTAAGGAACGTTTGCGTTTGTATGCAACCGCAATGGGGGCAGCTATGCGCACCTGTTGCTGGCCCTCCAAGCTCTTGGTCGAGATAAATCGCCTCACGCCACCTGCGCAAGGAACTGACGCCGCCTTCGGCAGGAAGCGGGAAGCACGAGCTGTGCCTCGAAATGCTGGAAGTGACATGGCGCCGGTATGACAAGGGAACTGTGAATTGAGAAATCAATTGTCTGTTCCAAGAGTTGTTGGGAAGCTTGAAAAGGGTTGGAGGATGCGAAGGAGAATAAGTTGGAGGGTGAGACAGAGTAGGTGGCGGTTAAGGAAGGAAGACGGACGACATACCAGTGTATAAGGTAGGGACGGAGCTTACAACTACAAACCAATTGACCCAGCTACAACAATGCCATGATGTAGCGGCGGCGGGCGTGCACAGGCATTGGGGGACCGCGGTACATAAGGACCTGGGGATTGGGGGGGTTCGGGGGACAACTGCCGCTGCTTCAGGCGGAATGTGACCCGAGAACCATGAAGCAAAGTAAAGCGCCCGGTGTGGTGGCCGAGCTGCTCAGTGCTTGTGTTGGTGGTTGGCGGTTGGAGCCGGGGTTCGGCTCAACTTCCGACCTCGCACTCGTCCGTCGTGCACTGCGTTCCAACTTCCATCCTGCTAGGTACCTAGCCATCCTGCGCTCCGCGCTGCGCGCTTATCAGCACTTATCGCATCGGCCCATCGTTGTGGGACAAGAAACACGCCCAGAGCACTGATATCGTTCCAAGCCTCCAAGGACCTTTGGCATCCGTCCTCCGTGGAAAGTTGAGAACGTTGAGCTGAACACGCACGGGCCTCTCGGTAGCGACCCGCCGCGCTTGCCCCAGCCCCACAATCTCTACCCTTTTTCTAGGCCGCGTTGTGAATTCGGCTTTTCCCTTTCTCTTCTTCTCTTCTTTACAACTAAATTGGAGATGACGAGCACGCTTATTGTCACATCAGCTCTTCCGCTTCGGCGGGTGCATGATGAAATGTTCTGGCGTCCTCACCACCTTTTTTCAGGACAATATGAAACAATCTGATCCAATCCATGTTGTGCTTCTTTTCTCATCTGTTTACTTTGTCTCTAAAAAGAATATTTCAACCTTTTCCATCCTAACTCTTTGGCGGACGCGACGGACACGGTTTTAGAACCACTTTCCCATCTCTTCCGCCGTCAGATAGAATCAATGTCAGGAAAAAAACGTGACTCGGAATGTCATCAGGGATGGGGATCCTGGCAAGTGCCACGGACATTCTTCCCGACCGATCAAGTATCTGGTTTAGACTGCCTACTGTGGAGAAGTCTACTGGCTGTCCGCAGCACATTTTGAAGCAATAATGAGGACAGCCCAGTAGTCCTTTGTATGCTTTGCCGTGGCCTTCCCCTCTCTAGGTCGTGGAACCCAAACCACAACGGGCTCACACAGTCTGAAGACGTACTGATAAATATCATGAACGGCTGCGAGCACTCACTTGTAGCCGAATTAATGACGATGGCTTGGATTCTAAAGTTCCATACGTCCCATTCTGGCTGGAAAGATTTGTGTGGCCATTTTCTGATATCTGTCAAAACAAACATTGTTTAGTCCGACAATCCCATTAGGTTGGTGGCCCATGCTTGATGAGTGCGGACAAGTATGCGGTGTATGACGCTTAGACTTCACCGAAAGAAAGACGAGTAACTGGCCCAGCTGGTGAACGATTCTGAGAAGGGTTGAAAAAGGGTATCTATCGTCAGACATGACCAGGAAAATGTCACGAGGACTCTCATGAATGTAGAACCGTAAAAGAATTGCTGCTACTCATTTTCGTTCCCGTAATTTGCCATGTCATCGATTTCCATTTTTCAATGCTACATGCCAAAGCCCTGCTGCGACAATAGGGACAGTAGGACGTAAAAAAAGAAGACCCAACCCGATGACTCCGAATGCAGCCGCCTAAGGACCGAGATCGATCGTGATCATCTATTTGGCCTCCTCCTCGCCCTCGCCCAACAGAGCGTTTCTCTTCGCCGTCTGTCTCTCCTGCTTGCGCTCGCGGGCAGCCTTGGTCTTCGCACGCTTGGCGTCCATCTCGTCCTTGAGAGCCTTCTCGCGGGCCTTCTCGGCCTTGGCACGGTGAATCTGTGAGGTATCCGGCGTCAGCCCACCACTCATCTCCAATATTGCAATCCAAAGGTATAGTTGGGGCGAGACTTACGTGCTCAACGAGAGCACGCTTGTGCTTGAAGGCGTTACCCTTGCTGGAGTGGTAAAGCTCGTGGTAAAGGTGCTTGTCGATCTTGCCGGAGGCACGGTACTTCACCAGAAGACGGCGAAGGACACGGAGGCGGCGCATCCAGAGGACCTGGCTGTGATGGGGAGTCAGTATGAATCTCCGCCAGATGTGTCATATCGGTCCGCGAGCCGGAAGACTTGTGGATATCGTCGTCGAACGTTCAAGGGGGTTGCCCAAGTGATATCCCAAGAGTAACCTCCAACAACGGACCGATCGATGGGAATGGTGTCGACGAACCTGGGCATACGGGCCTCAGCGGTACCCTTGCGCTTACCGAAGCCACGGTGGCGACCGATGCGGCGAGCCAAGTTCAGCTCACGGGCACGGGACCGCGAGTGCATGGTCACGGGCTTGCGGATGATGAGGCCATCGGCGACGAGCTTGCGGATGGTCTGGCGAGAGTTGGCGTTGGAGATCTCGTTGACCTCGTTGGGGTCGAGCCAGATCTTGCGCTCACCGCAGCCGATGACCGACGCGGCAAGGCGCTTCTGAGTTCGCAGATTGACCCTGTGAAGACATTGGACATCAGCAATTTGTCCTTGGTGATGGGAGAAAAAAATATCGTCGCCCCG